GGGGAGTAGAAATATAAGCCTTGAACTTCCTATCCTGAAAATATAAATCACTGCAACTTTTAAAGCACTTGCATGACTCATATGCAGAGGTCATAGACCAAATTTGCTGATGGAGGCAGGATGAAACAAATTCGGCTGCATTTTTATGATATTTTTCCTGCTGCTCTTAGCTTTTTATTTACCCAAAGTAATATAATTTTCCAGCTAAGTGTAACAGATCCAACATATGGAACTGCTATCCAGTTCAGTGCTTAGGTGCAGAACTGAATGGGAACAGTGGTGTGTCAATAAATAGCTTGCTGCATGTCAGGCAAAGGAGTCTCTCAGGAACCGTATTGCCAGCTTGGCAGGATTCTGGAAACGGAATCTCCTGTGGAACTGGGGTAGTAATGCAGGCACTGAACATTAGGGCCCAGGCCTAGAGGAAATCCAACTCCAGTAACATGAACTCTAAATGGAAGGCAGAGAGAGAGTAACAAGAAAGAGGCACTTGTTAATGTGCAGGTCTATAAATCGAGGGTTTTTTCCTCTTGCTCTAGCACAAACTTTGAGCCAGTTTAGTGCATCCCTGAAAGTCAGTACTTTTTCCACTTGAGAAATAATGTCACAGAACTGAGTAAACTGTTTGGTCATCAATTGTGTTGCCTATTTCTTTTGTGCCACAAGAGAAATCAACAGGAGTTATGATGTAGGTCTGATCTGCATACTGCATTTATGCTGCTGAGATTCTGTTGACTCTGAGGTTGGTTTTGTGTTTTCAGTAACGTTGCTGATGTTTAGATTTTGATCCAGCATAGCTTAGAAAATGAGAGTCATTGCTGCATTCAGTTTAAAATGTCAGCACATAGGTAGTCAAGAAATCTGGCTCCAGGTGAAGGTTTTAGACATTAATGTGTCTTAATTTAATGGCAGGGAATGAGGCTGGCCTGTTAAGAGAAAGAGGCTGTATTATTGAGTGTTCCAAATGATCCAATTTTGTGTGCGTGTATTGTAGTAAAGATGTTGCTTATGATACGAGGCATAAAAAGTGTGTGTTTTTATAGGTATAAAATAATTTCTTTCTCCTGTGTGTTAAGGGAAAAAGGCAATGGGCCTGCCTGTGTTGAGTAACACTTGGACCTTGTAAGGTGCATTGCAAATAAGAGTAATATTCTGGGAGAGCTGGAGTTCCTCAGGTTCTTGTCAATGTATTTTTTGCCATATGTCAGTTATGTTATAGGTGAACTGTGTCGCATCAGTAATATTTTATTTTTCAAGAGTCTAATTTTCTTGCATTTGCAGCCTAGATCTCGCTGGGATTGACCCTTTTAAATGACTTTAGTCAGCATTCATGTGTTATTTGGGAAGGACGCCATTTTAATTTATGGCTAAAAACATAACTCTGGTATCTACCTTCTCCCTTTGCATCACACAGCCCGTGCTGGAATTACTCACTTTTGGATTTTAGCCCTGGTGAGTGGAGAGGGGAGGTTAAATGTCACCCATACCCTCAGTGCCATCCCTGAAGCCTCACATGCCAGGCTCATGTCATCCTCTGGAGGGCAGGGAAGGCACAGAGGCAGTTTGGGGACACCTCTTTCCTCACTGCAGTGACACCAATAGATGTTGGCACTGCCAAGGATTTCACCTGTAATTTCTTGGTAAATGAGCACTTTGTGTAACTCCCAGTTTATATGATTCTTGTTTCTGCTTATGTGTAACATGCAAGGTCTGTCATCTTTTCTTCCATTTACATTATTCCTGGCATTTTAAATTCAGGTAGATTAGATTTAGACTTTTTGTAATGAATCTGCATCATTTTGTGTTCTGCTTGCTCCTGAAATAGCCTGGGGGAACCTGATAGGCACGATTTATGTGTATCATTTAGAGGCATAAGAAAGCATCTGATTGATTTAGTCTTTCTTTTGTTAGCTCTTTCCTATAATTCTAATCATCATTTTACTGTAGCATTACACTATTGAGGAAAGTATGGGTTTTCAAAGGCAGGATGCTTCCATATTTAGAAGTGGTGATGCCTAAAGGAAAATGGCTGGGAGGTCTTTACAACAGATTTTCTGCTATTGTAGTTTGCAAGGTAGAAAGATGTCTGGCATTTATTTCACTAACAGTAACTTTAATTAATGAATTTTTTATATTATTTCCTGACTTCAGCAGAATAAGCTGTGGGTAGGATGCTTCTGTGCAGCACTGAGCTCTGCTGCTGCAAAGCTGTTGATGTGAAAGCAGACCTGGGTGCTGATGCTGCAGCGCATCTCCCGTGGCAGGAGGGAAAATCGACTGATGAGATTTGGCAATGTTTGTTTCTGTGCTGGTGGGATGCTTGGAGTATTCCACGTGGGTTTTAGTCTCTGTCACTTTTACACAGAGCAGAGTGAAGGAGACAGAAACGTTAAGGACCTGACCCTGTAATTTTCCAATTGGAATCAATCAGTATAAACAGTAAGGCGAATTCTCTTCTGATATCAGTCAATGCTCTTCTGTTGGCTTTATTAAGGCTGTGCCCATTTGCAGTAGCTGAGAATTAAGCAGTTGCTCTCCTCCCAGCCTTTCTGATGACTTAACATCATTTTTGAAACATAAAAGTCCTGTTTCAGGTCTGGGTTGTTGGCTTACGTGTTTAAATTGAAGGCTTGTCAGTTCTCATGTGACCAGCACTCTGAAGAAGATCTGCGAGTGAGGTTAGGTAAAACTGTGGGTTTTTTCCCTACTACTATCTGGATTTTCTCAGAACCTAGATAATTTTATCGTATTTGCATCAAACATGCAGGTAACTTTAGAATCCTGCATCTGTACTGTTTCTAGGGAAGCAAAATAAAATTACAAATGACAGTAATTGACATTACATGCTTTAATTGAATTTCCTCCTCTGTGAACCAAAACCTTTTAACCAAGTATTGCAGTGCTATTTCTGTATTTATTTGTTACATGGGTTAATGTGCTATGTGGCAGATCCAGTATTTATCCATTTTCACAAATTAAGCTATCAGTGTCATGTTGCCTTTGAATTGTTTCCTGTATTGATGGCCAAAACGGCTTGAATAAGACTTTAGTCCTCCCTAGCTATATTTCTGTTTTTACAAAGCTGAAAATTGCATGGTTGAAAATGAGCCCTTAGGAAGAGTTTGGGAAACTCTAGACCCGAAGCATCTTAGCAATGTGCTGGATTTTCTCCCTGCAGTGATCTCTGCTAAGGGAAGGGAGAAGTGCACAGGCTTTTTGAAAGGTGTTGTTGTTGTTGTCATATTACATGAATTAGAAATCAAGTCCTGCTTGAGTTTACGTTTGTGGCAAGTGAAAATGAATTGCAGAGAGAAGGAGTAGAAATTCCTCTACTGGGTCCCCAGGCTGTGCACTTCAGACCTGCTGAATTTTTCAACTTCTACCATCTGAGAAAAGAGCACTGCTTTAGCTAATTTGCAGCTTTCTTACTCTGCTGTTACCTCACCTATTACCTGGGCATGATCTTTTGTCTGCTTCTGTAGGTATAAAAACCCAGTGGAAAAGAAACAAATTTCATTTACTATTTCTTGTAAAATAGCTACTTTTGTGCCTGCAAAAAAAAAAAAAAAAAAACAAAAACAACACTTTATGAACATATGTAAATAATCACTTATAAAATAGGTTGAATTGATGATGCAGGTAGCTGTGACTTCAGACTTAATGACTTTTCTTAATATATAATAATTTTCAGCATCCTTCTTGATATTTCAAGTGAAGCATGATTTTCCTTTAGCCGTACTTGTGTCCCAAACGGGATTGCCATAATAAAGTATGTGGGACACTTATGATTCTATTCAGAAATTAAGAAAAGGAAAGCTTGGTAGAGAACTGCCATCTCAGTGTGGTCTGTAATTGAATGCAGATTTTCAGTGCCAGAAGGCAGTGGGACTCCAGGAGTCAGAATGGGGACCCCCCATTACTACTTGTGAGTGCAGCATGAAATGGAAATGTTGGCAGGGAAAGCTGCTTTTAGGAGTGACCCAAAAGCTGCAGACCAGTGTCTTATCAGTGTGACTCCTTAGAAGAACTGGTAAAGAATGTGATGTCAGAACACTGATGAGAGCTCTGAGACTTTTCCTGCAAGGAGTCACATCTGATATGAAACCTGGGGGAGGGAGGAATGTTGTGTAGCACAGCTGAATAACCCTAAACAGTAAATACCACTACATTCTCCATACTTGTCTTTTGGCACAGGTATTTAAATGGAGTTCCATTGGAAATTAGAAAGGTAACCACTTTCCCTGACTTAGAAATGAGCCAGGGATGTGTCACTTCCCTCCTCCTACTCCGAGTTGAAACAAGCTCTTAGACATTTTATAGCTTCTGAAAAGTTTTAGTCATAGAAAATTTCATAGGAATTTCATTTTTAGCTCAAGTAAGTAATTGCTTTAGATTACATTTTCATTACTGTCCCCCTTTGGAAGAGCTGATAGACCATAAAACTAGTTTATTTCTTACCAGTAGTTTATTATTTTTTTGATGGCTCATACCTCTCCTTTCCTCTGCTTTTTAGCTTTTTATATGCTTTTGCCTGTTTCAGGGCTTAGTCCTTGTTCCATGTGAGTGTTGCTAATTATTTCAGTGGGGAAGTATTTGTAGAGAAAAGAATACTGTGATCAGGATCTGAATTTGGTAATATTTGGTAATTATTGCCAAATAATACCAAATTCAACTCAATTCAGACAACAGGATTCAAGTAACTCCTGTTGATCAGACTTCGTTTTGCAACAACAAAAACAAACAAAAAACCAAACCAAAACAACAACAACAAAAAAATAAAAAGTAATTTCCCATCCAATGTTGCAGTATCTATGCATAGACTTCCTATGCTTTGAGGGGACCTGTGACTTTATTCAGTTACAAGAGGAAAAGGTACAAGTTACCCAGAACAGAAACAGACTGGGATTGCTAAAAACGTGTGTTTTGCACTTGCCCTTTGAGCACTTTGTTTAGTTGTATGACTGATAACAAAAGCACACAACCAAAACTGCATCCCAGCCTTCAGAACACAACTCACCAAGCTGCAAAAAGCAGATTTAGTTTCTTTGCAGATGGTCTATGAGTCTCATGTGGCATCATATTAAATTATATAGGCAGTCAGTCGCTTGCTCTGAAGCGATGCTCTGAGCCAGGAGTTGTGATCTGCTTGGACCATTCTGGTGGAAAACAGGCTGGAAAGCTAAACCAGCTCCTCTGAAGAGCAGCAGTGCAGGGCCCTGCCAGGGGCTTCAAACACCTCAAGGGCTGCAATTCCCCCTGGGATTCACTATGAGGGTGGCCCAGCGACCCTACCATGGGCTGTGGAGCATTTTGCCCTAAAGGTAAGAGCCCAGACCGACTCATTTTGCTTTTCTGGTTATTGCTTTCTGACCCTGTATTTTTACAATGATAGTTATTTTTGGTTTGTAATATTTTGAAGGTAAGAATGAGAGTTTATTTTCTTCTTACTCCTGTCAGACTTTGTTTTTGCTGGGTGCAAGAAGAAGAAAATACAGCAGTCTGTTAATAGTTAATGTTATTTCATTAAAGTATTTCTGCAGTATGAAATAGAATTAGCTGTTTTGTCCTGTGATGTTTCATAAGATTATATGTTTCTATTAGCTTCATTTTGGTACAAATGCAGTCTTTGGGTAACACTGGCTCCAGTGTGAAAATAGTGATTTTTATCAGCTGAATTTCCACTCAGGGCAAGTTGTCATTTGTAGTCAAAAGCATGCTTGGGATAGCAATTTTCAAATGTGTTATGCAGTCAGTAAGTTTTAATATTCATGCTTATGAAAATGAAAACTTCATGGTGCTTCCTGCACTTTCTAGGAGGAATAGTAACACAAACTCACAACATCAAAGCCAAAGGCTGCAGATTATCTGGGGAAACTCTAAATGTGTTAGTGCCATAGAGTAAAACCCATTCGAGGTTATTTATGTTGATGATTGAGTTGCAGGTTTAGTGAGACAGGAAATACATCCACAGGTACTGTTGATGTGATTGTTCCTCATGATGAAATTGTTACATTGGCAATGACACCAACCCAGGAAATGCATTTAACAGGTAGGAGTTCACACAGGGATGTTTCCCTTGTCTGGCAGCTCTTGACAGGTGCCAGCAAGTGCTGCTCCAAAATTCCAGCGTCTTTGAGATCTCTTGGAAGAGACAGTGGCAGGGCATGTGCAGTTCAGAGCTGGGCTTTGCCTTTACCATGCTGGTCTTCAGAGAAACACCTCAATCAGATGAACAGCTCAGTCAGGGGATTTGTTTTAGACAGGGCATTTGCAAGTTGGAGCAGCTGTTTGATTTTGTAAGCAAATAAGCAAAATTAGGAATGCACGGAGGGTACAAGGCAGGGCCCAGGAAGGGCAAGCCACAGGGCTAGATGAAAATCATTGCTGGTTTATGTGGAAAAAAGGGTGTTTTCTTTGCCATGACAGGGGTTTGGAAAGCAAAAGGTACAGGTATTCTGTCTGCTCTGTCAGGCTAATGTACATTACAGATGAGCTTTTAAAGCTGTATTTTAAGTGCCAGGTGTCCATTTTACAAATGCAATTTGTCTCCAGAAAGGAAACATGTAGATGTATTCTTTAAACTAGAATTGTGGGTTTTTTTCTATGCTGCAGAATGAGGATACTGCTGTTTTCTTCTGTTAAATGAATTAATTCTGATTAAGGGATTTGAAAACCTAGGCTGGGAAGTGTTGATTTATTTCCTGTGCAAACTGAGAACAAAGTCTGCTTTCCTAAGCCAAACACAATTTCTAGTTTGTGTTACCAAAGTCCTGTCTTGCATCATCATCATCTTACACGTTTGTGTAAATGTGTTTTAGGAGGATAGCACAGCTACACTATTGATCACACCACACTGTGATTTATGCCAGCTGACCAAAGTCCTCCCTCCAGCCAGGGATTTCTACAGACAGCCCTGATACATCTTTTCTCATCTCTGAGCTAGCCCTTAGTACTGTATGGCTGGGAAAAGCAGAGGGGCTCCGCACACGAGTGTGCAGCTTGATAATGCACACTCATATGAAAAAAGGAATTTTCCCTTTTCTCAGGGCCTTGCTGTAGCATCTAAACCTGCAGCTTTTCTGCTGTGAAATGCACGTTAACCTCAACATTGGCCAAGAGAACCCTGAAGGGCAGTTTAGGCTTCAGGATGCTCAAATATATATTTCTTTCATTTTAAAGTTTTATTTGCAGCCTTTTACCAAATCCACCCCTTTTTCTTTCAGATTGTAGCCGGGTTTCAATTGATCAGCCAAAGCCACAGCCTGTTTTTGCCATGTTGAAGGCCTGTCTTTAGATCCCAATTCCAAATTAGATGCTGATTCTATCCTTGACTACAAACTCCAATTCCCTAGGACATACAGCAGGTATTTTAAGAAACCATCTGTGTGTTAGGCACAAATATTAAACATGGCAAGAAAATGAAAATTTTTTAAGTCAAGGGGAAAAACAGAATTAGATGTTGCAAGTCAGTTCTGCTCCTGAATCTGAGAACCATGGTTAGATACTCAGGATTGACACAGAAGGCAGCAAAAAAATGGACTGCAAACTGCCAGTTATGCAAATAAGTAATATATCTACTTATTGCTATTCATTGTTATTTTAATTTCTTGAGGTGACTCTTATTCAATCTTTCTTGTGTTTGCTGTTTCTCCAGCCTTGGTGTAGACCCTAAACCTCATCCTGGTTGATTTTGATAGTAAAGAAAGATCTTGAAGCATGAGAAGCTCTCATAAGACACTAACAAGGTTTTGGTTTTTTTGTTTGTTTGTTTGTTTTCCTTCTGGGATGTAGAAATTCTTGGCCACTTATTAAAAATCTTTTAATCCTTGGTCACAGAGTCTTTCCTTGAAGATTATGAGATGCTTATCTCAAAACACAAGTAGTTCTAGTAACTGCAGTTTAAAAATGGGAGCAATGTGTGACGCGTAAAACTAGTTTGTAGTCTCTGAGAAGGAGCTGTAACTTTCCAGTAAAAGTAGTCATTTTTCTATTTCTTTCGAGAAAAAGCACTCATCTAGATTACTGAGATGCAGTGGGTCTCTCCTAACTTTTTCTCCTTTAGAAACAAGGCTTACATACACAAGAAGAAAGGAGCAAGAAATTCAGGAAATCCTCAGCTTGCTACTAATGTGCCCTCACATTCCTGAGAGTTATTTTTGGGTTTTCTCTTAGGAATAGCTAGAACTTGTTGAGCTGGGAAAGACTTCTTGGAACAGATCCTTGGTTTTGTCTTCTCTGCATGAGCGCTTCTTGTTGATGTTGGAATAGCTGCTCTTGGTTGGTTGGTGATTCACAAAATGAGGCAAGTCAGCCCTGTAAAATCTGCTCCTCCACTCCACAATGTTTGGAAAAAATTGTTGCAGCAAGCTGGTGAGCATGTAAGAAGACAATTGCCTCCACTTGCACCAAGAGTTCTGTCTGCCTCTCTTCTGGGTATTGCTACCTGCAGATTTGTTGTAACTTGAGAAATATCAAAATGTCAGTGAGGAGGATACAAATGCTTTCCCTTCTTCCCTGTATGGCTCCAAGTACTCTGTGTTGTGCTGAGATCCCTCAGTAAATTGGTTCAGATCTCTCAGTACATACCTCAGTAAGTCAGAAATCTCAGCTGTTAGAGGATTTGTTTCCATAAAGTACTTTGCTGTCAAAGGATTTGTTTCAATAAAGTATTTTGCATGTAGGGACACTACGTGCAGACCAGCTAACAACCTGTATGTTTCTGTTGCACAGACACCCTACCAAAGTATCTGGGGCTCCTTGGAGTTTGTTTTGGGATCAGATTCCACGCAGCACATTTTGATAAGAACTTGGAATGGTCTCCGCGTTTCTCATATGCATGGTTTGTTCTTCAGTGGGAATAAGAACCAGCATCAATTGAACTCTTGTCTGTATTTGTTCCCCAAATTGCCTTTTGGGATTTTTCAGTAAGGTTTTAAACACCTCCTGTAGGGTGACAGAATTTTCAAAATGTGTGCAGATACTGCTTAGATATTTTAAAAGGCGTATTGACAGGATGTGCAGAAGGAATGAATGGAATGACTGGCATCTGTGTTAGCTTGGCACTTCACTGCTTATTACCTCTTAGAAACTAGAAGGAAATTCTGAGAAAGAACCAAATGAAATGAGAAAGCATGGAAGGCTTAATGAAGCTGGCAAAAGAGAATCACATGTACTCTTTTGAAAAAGGGCTGAGTTTGCTTCCTGATTTGTTGTTTTTTACCTACCCAAACCAGACATCTGTCTGTCTGTGGAGGGGTTTTTTTCCCTGCCAATTGCAAACAAAAAAAAAAAAAAACAAAAAACGAAAGGAACAGCATACTAGTCACTGAAGTACTTGAACGTGGTTTTGGACTTCAGAGAAAGTTCAAGGCAAAAAGCATTTAATTTGTTTTGCATACATGAAAATCAAATCATTGCATTTCTCCCATCTTTTATTGTGAACAGCATTACTCCCGTTCCTTTTGTGTGCATGCCATGTTTGGTTTAATGGAGAAATGAGAAAAGAAAATAGATTCTTTTTTGGAGGCTGAGTACTAATGCAGAAACATTAAAGGCAGGCACATTGTTGTCAGCCAGTTTGCATATTTATTTACTTCTACAAATGGTTGGCTTGGAGTCAGCAGTTAATGGAATGAGAATGATGTTCCTGTACAGATCATTTCCTGAGAAACATTTTCAATTACAAACATATCTCTGCTTTTCTTCCCTCATTTGTTATGTCTTGGAGAATAAATGGGGAGTAGCATTTACAACTTAAGGTTTATGTTCTGAAGACAATTTTAACAATGATCCCCACATAAAAAGGCCCTTTTGTAGTTGCAGACATATGTTTATGATGTTTTGTGCTGTGAATATCAAATTTCTGGTGGACGCTGTGTCACACTCTGCAAACTTGTAAACATCTATAAATCCATTGGATCATTTTAATACCATGTGTAATGTAGATTTATTGTCTTTTGTGTGGATTTCTTTTGTTTCGGAGTTAAAGTTGAGCTGCCAGAATCCATGTTTAATGAATTACGTATTCCAGAAAATTGGGCAGTACTATTTCAGTTTGATATTTTCTTTTCCCTTTGTGGATGTATTGGATGCACATGCACAGGTATTAGAAATTAACATTGTGGATAGGTGGCCCAGAAGGTAATTATGTAAGTTTGCTTGACTAAACAGTATAATTCTATAGAAGCCTGAACTATGACTTTCTGAACATGTTTTTCTTTTCTTCTTTTTCTCCCATTCTATAGCTGTCTTAAGTAATTTTGGTCAGTTTGCTCATTTACCATTACAAATCCAGAATTACCCCACTGGAATTATATCAGTT